TATCAGTTTTTTGTTAAATAAAATCCCTTTTTTAAAATCAATACCCACTCCTCTTTTTCCAGTTTTCATTAGTACATCGTTCGATTGTTTTATTTAATGGGGTCGTGTATTGTTATTTGTTTAAAAATATCTTACGCTACTGCTGAAAGGGTTTCAGTTATTGCTTTATTTTTTGGCAACGACCAAAACGGTAATAGAACATCAATTTTATTTAACGAGCAAAACCCTGGTAAACACCTAAGCAGAAAACACTCGAAATGTTAACAGTGGCATACGGTGATTGTACTCTGAGTCAGAAAAATGTTTACAAGTGTTGCAAGCTTTTCACGGACGGTCGAGAAGATTAGAATGACGACTCTCGCCCTGGACGCCGCAGCACATCAACAACCGATGACAATGTTAAGGAATCGAATCAGTGTTAGAGAAGAAATTCGAAAAAAATTTTGGGTGTACTTACGTATTTTGATGCATAGATTACGAATCCGAAAGAAAAAAGCGGCGCCGTCCCTTATTTACAAAGTTAAGGCCCTTTAAACTTCAGAAAAGGGTAACTTTTCGGCCTTCTTTTTCACAAAATGAACTATTTAGGTCACATTTACACCTCATTCCTCCTTCTTTGATACTTTTCACTTCAAAAATCAACATTATTCCAATAAAAATGTTAAAAAATGTACGGAGCTGCTCTTTGATTATCTACATATCTCTGTATTTTACGTTTTTAAGATTAATGGTATGGTTGGTACAACTGATGCAGTCCATATTTCTGGAGTAATTCTAATGTTTTTTGCCATCATTCTTCAGATCGTAAATTAGTTTTTGGTGGTGTGTTACGAATTTGAAATAGTAGGCGACGGCAAATACCAACCGCTTTTTTCTGAAATAGAAGAATATCACCAGGAGAAGCATTCGTTTTCAAATTAAGTTTTTTATAAGAAAATTGTTCATTATTGAAGTGAAAAGTGTCAAAGAAGAAGGAATAAGGTGTAAAGGTGACCTAGTGAATAAATGCTTGTGTTTTTAAATAGTTTATTTTGTGAATCGGGTTCCTCTGGGACCACCACTTGTCATTGTGCATACGAGGTATGTTCAGAAAATAAAGGAAATTTTTATATTTCACGTATTGCAATGCAGAATCGCTGACACGTGTTATAACAGTTGATGAAACATGAATTTACGGATATGACGTCGATAGTAAGGCTCAATCATCCTAGCGGAGCCATTCTGTTTCACCAAGACCGAAAAAAATCGACAAGTGTTGTTATGTTCACTGTGTTCTTCGACTTTAATGGCATAGTGTGTCATGAATTCTTGCCACGAAGTCAAACGATCAATAATTTGACACAGTTTGCGTGAAGCAATCCGAAAAAATCCCCAGATTTGTGGAAAAACAATTCATGACTTTTGCACCACGATAATCCACATGCTCACACTTCATCGCTTGTTCGTAAAATGTTTTGCCGAAAACAACACTGTGATGATGCCCCAGCCTCCATACCTATTCCCAACACGTGCTTTCGTGCGATTTTTTCTATTTCCAAAAATAAAGAGAACGAGGTCTTCGTTTTACAAGTATAGTTTTTAAGTATAGAAAGAGCCAAAGGCCATCCTAAAGATCGAGTTTAAGGAGTGTTTCGAGGATTGGAAGAAGCGCTGGCGTAAGTGCATAATATCTAATGAGGTAGTATTAAAAAATCAAGAGATATCAAACCAAGTTACTTCACTGAGTTTCGATTGTTCGTATCCACAATCGTTTTCGAGTGATGACTAGACGAATTCCTCCGAGACATGACTATTTATGGGTCATTCTCTCTCCTCTTTCGTCTTTCCGCTTCACCGATTTAGAGGGATATGCTGTTTGGCGGGAGTTGGCAATTTTTCGCTTGATTATGGGTTTCCATATGTTGCGTATCTCTACGCTAGCTTGGCTGAATACATTATTGGACAACATATATGCGGTTTCTTTGAATTTCCTCCTAAACCAGTGTTCCTCCCTGTGTATGATCTGAGCTTGGGTCCAAACATGCTCTGCTATTCCGGATTTGCTGGTTTCCCCTCGCTGTGTGTGTTTCTTATGCTCGGCAATGCGAACGTTCAATTGCCTCCTTGTTTCACCGGATCTGAAGCAGGTTCTAATGTTGTACTTGTTCCCAAACACTGGTTGTGAAGGCTTCTCTTCCTTGCGAGGCTCTTACTGTCTTTTAGCCAAAGTCTATTCCACCATCACTTTGGAGTGACTATTCCATTGAAGATCATTTTGGATTATGCCTAGTTCCTTCTCGAGACCTTCCTTTGTATTACAGAGCCCGAAAGCACGGTCTAATAGACTTGATGATTCAACTTTTAGTCGATTGATGGTGGTTGGATTCGTGATTCAGATACTGTCCCGTGCGAGTGAATGTTCGATATACAGATGTTTCTACACTTACTGTAGGTCCTCTTCATCAATACGTCTAAGAATGGCAACTCGGGGGGCAGTTGCCCTTCCCCCCCCCTAGAGATCAAGTGTAGTCAGCCGTAAAGCGACCAAAGTGTGAGCAATTTACTTCCTTACCCATAAATAACATTAAGATTTTGACATCTGTTTTTCAAATCGCCGCCATTATCATCACGACTATATCAAATTTGCCATTAAACATTGTAAAAATATGTAGGTAGGAGGTAGGTATGGTGTGTGTGTGCATTGCATTTTTTCTACGACAGCCGTTCACCAGCATTCACGTTAGTTTTGTATAATTTGTATGCGGCATACCTGAAGTAGAAGTTATTGTTACGAACAATGATCTAAATTCACTTCCTGAAATTAAAAATGTCATGGGAACCACCAAAGATACTATAAACTTTTTCGGGAATCAGTTTTGAGGAGGAAGTTGATACATAATATTTTCAGACTTTGCAACACAAGATGGAGTGAGAAACCATAG